CTGCCCGTCTTTTCACCTCGGAGTCGGCGGATGGTCTGCCAGAATACTTTGTTTGCCGTGTGGAAATTCCGATGCTTCGCTGAAATGTTATTCGTTCAGTGGCGTTTGGAAGTATACTGTGTATATTTTTCTCCTTGGTGAACGCCAGTCCGTTTACGTCTTTATTTTCTCTTCACTTTCCGGTGTTTCTTGTTCCTTTATCTCCATCTTTGCCCCCTGTTTCGTTGCCAGTTTTTCTTATACGCTACTGACTTTCTATCCCTCTTCGCGAAGCGTATTTTATTATGTCTTGCGCGTCATTTGAAAGCTGCCATTTCTTGAACGGCTGTTTCCTCTGTCCTAAGGTCACGTGCACTTCCGCATTCCTCCAGCAAGTTTCTCTCTATACATGTGTTGTGCCGTTTGTTTCCCCACTGGGCCTCTGGCGTTCGCGATGATTGTGCTGCCGATTCCGTACGGGCGGAAACACGTTGGCAGGAAAGCACTGTTGAGTAGTGACCTATGTGGCATGACCACAGTGTGCCTAAGTGGTGGGCATCGACCTCCGGAGAGGCCGGCGTCGATTGCAGTTGAGGGCGATCTTAGTCTTTCCCTCCAGCAAGAAATTTACCACGCGTTGGTTCACACCGAGGTTCGTCGCACTGAGAACCGGAAAGTTCCTGTTTCGAGGTTCAGTCAGAGTCACTCGTGTTTCTTCCTTCAGATGTTGATAAATAAGTACCCCTGTCTCTCAGCAGGAAACGGAAGACTACTAGTGCAGTAGACTGTGCCTTTAAAGTAAGGCATTACTGGCTCATGTCATAGGAATGTAGATCAACGCACCATCATTAACTTTTTGGACAGGGCGGAAGAAATGGAGCCATATAGAAAGTGTGAAAAGGACGTTTATTCCAACGGTTAGAGGCATACGTTTTTATGTTTTATAGGTGATCGATAATGGTTTATGGATGATGGATCAATTATTGAGACTGCTGTTGAAATTGATCATTCTGTGCGGAAAAACATTTCGATGCACGGCTATTTGCTGTTTGTAAAGTCATTCGCGGGACCACTTGTAACGGAAAGTGCATAAGTTGGCTCACATGTAAACAAAGTCTTCTGTGTTACGAAGCGTATGAATCGCAAAAAAGCGATGGAATGCGACGAAGCTGGCGGTAAGCAAAAAACGCAGGGGAAACACGAATCGAGTCGAAAGAAAGAAAAACGCCAGAGGAGAGGAGAGGAGAAGAGAGGAGAGAAGTGTTGAGGAAAAAGTTTAC